TGTGTGTGTGTGTGTATGTATGTGGTGTATGTGTGTATATGTGGTGTGCGTGTGTGTGTGTATGTATGTATGTGGTATATGTGGTGTGTGTATGTGTGTGTGTGTGTGTATGTGTGTGTGTATGTGTGTGTGTATGTATGTGGTATATGTGGTGTGTGTGTGTGTATGCATTGGTGTATGTGTGTATATGTGGTGTGTGTGTGTGTGTGTGTGGGGTGTGTGGGTTTGTGTGTGTGTGTGTATGTATGTGGTGTATGTGTGTATATGTGGTGTGCGTGTGTGTGTGTGTGTATGTATGTGGTATATGTGGTGTGTGTATGTGTGTGTGTGTGTGTATGTGTGTGTATGTGTGTGTGTATGTATGTGGTATATGTGGTGTGTGTGTGTGTGTGTGTGTATGCATTGGTGTATGTGTGTATATGTGGTGTGTGTGTGTGTGTGTGTGTGTGTGTGTGTGTGTGTGTGTGTGTGTATGTGGTGTATGTGTGTATATGTGGTGTGGGTGTGTGTGTGTGTGTGTAGGCCAGAGGTCATGTCAGCTGTCTTCCTCAGTCACTCTCCATCCTATGTTTTGAGACAGGGTCTCTCCCTGATCTTGGAGCTCTGACATGGGTGCTGGGATCTGAACTCTGGTCCTTGTGTTTACGCAGCAAGCTCTCCATCACTGAGCTGTCTCGTAGCCCCTCATCCCTAACAACCCTTGACCCCAGTCTCTCCTCACCATCCCCGCAGTCTTTCCTTCCTCCTCCTCCTCCTCCTCCTCCTCCTCCTTCTCTCTCTCTCTCTCTCTCTCTCTCTCTCTCTCTCTCTCTCTCTCTCTCTGTTGATGCCTCCAAACACCCCCATGCTTGCTCCTCTGATCTCCAATTGCCTTCGAATGATAGAACTCAAACCGGCTTTGCTGCTGTCGTCCCATATCCTCCCGTGGCTCCCAAGTGCCTTCAACACAATGCATTCTCCTTACCACATCCTGAAAGGGCCTACCCAGGCTGTCCTTCCCACTTTTCCCTGGCACTCTCTGCCAGGCGGTCGGCACTCAGGGTTTCAGAGTATGTAGTGCTAGCTCTCACTTCTGTGGTCTGTAGGTAGGTGAAGATGGTCCCCAGAAGGGTCCCCGTTTAATTCACATCCACTATCAAAGCCTTGACACCAGATCCAGAGGGAATCTCTCCACCCACCTCATGGCACAGGCTTTACAGCGATAACGGTCGGAAAGAGAACTGCTGGACGGATTCTGGGGCGACTGGGATAGCAGTAGTCAGCCAGGGCCACTGCCGCTGCCGTCAGTACCAAGGGCAGAGCGCTACACCTCTGACAGCCCAGCACTGGTGATGAGGACCCTGGGCCCAGGGTGGACCCAGCACCTGTGTGTTTCCCCAGCTCCTCGGGTGGTTCTGCAGTGAAGCGCATGAAGGGCTTCCCACGTAAAAAGGATCACGCATCGAGCTGGGATGAAGGCTGGGCTCTGGAAGCAAGACCAGAGCTCAGAGACAGACAACCCATCCTGTTTTCAATCCTAACTTTGGGTTTGGGGGTTTGATTTGTTTGAGTTTCGGTTGTGATGAACAAGAGAGATCCCAAAGGCTAGGCTGCAGAAATTGCCAGAACCCAGGAGGGGGTTCTAAAGATTCAGAAGGTTCCTGGTCAAGGACTCAGAAGGTTCACTCCCTGGTCTCGCTTGCTGTGTTAATGCAGGAAACCCACAGGTTACTGATAAAGGGGCTAATTATTAAAGGATTATATTTGGGGAGGGGGACAACTCACTCATACAGAATAAGGCAAATTCGGCCGCAGAGTCCTGGAAGGCTGAGAACTGGTCCCACGCTGCTTCATGCCACCTGATTCGGTCTCCACCATCCAAGATCATGAGAGAGAAGGGAACCACGTCCATGCTCCTCAGATCCTGAGCTAGCTAAGAAGCCATGCCCTAGGGGCCGTAGGTGGAACAAATACCCACTACACTGTGTGACCTTGGTTAGGTTTGGTTCCCTCTCTGGATCTCGGCTGCAGAATCAGACTCAGCACAGCAGGGGTGTGGCTGGTCTGTTCACACCCTCCATACGCCTTGGTTGGGTGCTCTGCAGGGCTCTGGAGATGAGTGATAGTGAGGACCAGGTCGCTGTCCCCATGACTTGATAACCTGGAGGATGAGGTGGACACCAGCCAGCAAAACAAGTCCCCAAATGGGGTGAGTTGTCAGGAAGCATCAGGCTGAACTGATGTGCAACATAAGGGGGAACTTGGAGGTCTTAGGTCCCCAGGTCTGTGACATTCAGCCCATACCATCCCTAAACTTCCTTGACCCCCCCCCCCCACACTCAACAGGGATCCTGTGCTTTCAACCCCAAACCCTCAGAGTCAGTTGGCCAGGTCTCCCAAGGTGTCACAGCCTCCCGCTCCTGAGCACCTGCCTGTCACACCATCGCCCCTCCCTGCCTCCCACACCCTGCTCCCCCCAACTTCTACTTCCCCCCATTTTTCTCTCTGCACTTCTTGCCTTTCATTTCTGACCAAACTTCAGATGACGGGAACACTGATAAATTAATGATTGTAATTAATAAAAATTGACTCTGTGCTAATAAATTATTATGAAATGGCCTGTCAGCATTTTAATGAAATGCAGAAAGCTGCTGTAATGAGATGAGTGTGTGCACTTTCTCAGCCAAGACGTGAGGGATTATATCCACAGGGCACCCAGGGTCTGTATAGGGAGGGTTTTGGGGGGAGGGCGACAAGGAGACACTCCCTTGAGAGGGACCCTCAGAAGTGGCTGGGTCCTGCGTCCCCATCTCCATATCCTCCTCTATGTCTGTTCACCGGATCTTGAGAGCCCCTGGGTGCGGGAGGATACCGTCACAGCCCTTCCCTTTCGTAAGTGATGAAGCTGCCGTCCAGAGAGAGTGAGATGCCACAGTTGGTCAACACAGCTAGGCTGTAGAGCTGAGATCAAACCCAGCCCCTGTCCCAGACTTTGGATCTGTTACAGCACCTTTGAAAGCCTTGGGGCTGGAGCTGGAGAGACTACATGGTTAAGAGTTATGTACTGCTCTTCAAGAGAATCCAAGTTTGGTTCCCAACACCATGTCAGAATGTTCATAATCTCCTGAACTCCTGCTCCAGAGGATCTGATGCCCTCTTCTGGACTCCACAGGTTCCCATTTGCATGTGTGCATAGAAGTGTGTGTGTGTGTGTGTGTGTGTGTGTGTGTGTGTGTGTGTAAATCTTTAAAAACATAAATATCTTAGCACTGAAGGGGCAGCCATGTGAGCTCAGTGTCCACTTGGAGTGGAGTTTCTTTGCCTCAGTTTACCTGGAGGCCTCTGGGAGCATCTCTGTCACTCTTCTCTGAGTGTAGCACAGACAATAGGCAGGAGGCTCAGCAGTGCCCTCATCCGCGCACCCCCACAGGCTCTGCGGAGTGTTTGATATTATGAGGTTGTCCCAGCCCTTCATAAACTGGAGCCATGAATGTAAAACAACTGATTTTTACAACAGCATTGTTTAACCCTGCACCAATTAAAAGTACCTGTTATTAAAAAAGGTAATTACGCAGTAATTAGTTTGACACAAGACATTAAGCAGATTATTACCAAAGCCAGGGGAACGAGGAACTTCCGCAGCGAGTGTCCTCCCCCTCCCCACCCCGAGGCCTTGCGTAGAGCTCAGGCCTCACTGTGGCCATCAGTAGCTCGGGGAATGTGGACCTCACTCTCCAGAGCAGCTTGTGGCTTTCCAGTGGGGGAATGCCTGGGGTGCAGGGCTGAAGAACACTTCCCAGAAGACATGTGTGGGACTAGAACAAACGTGAGCAGAGACCGTCAGTGAGACCAGGAGAAGGGCGAAGTGGGGAAGACCCTGCACCCACGACAGCATGTGTGAAGCAGGGAAGACTGACTCTTAAGAGTTGTTCTCTGACCCCGTGTGCAATGCATACCACACACACCACACACACACACACACACACACACATGCACTAAAGATAAATTTTTAATTTCAATATACATTGGATGGGAGTGACGTTTGTTCTCCTTAGCCGTCCTCCATGCCGGATCCCTCTGGACCTCTCTATTCCTCTCTTCCTGCCCCCCGTCAGTTCTTCCTGTACGCCTTCCCCTACTTCCTTCTCACTAACATGTAGAATTTGTACAGACACGTGGGCTACGGTGTGAGCAGCTGATAGGTGCAGACAGCATGAACACGGGGAAGCTGGGTGTCCACGTGTAGAGGATGAGACTAGACCCACCCCTGCCTCTCACTGTGGGGAAGAGCTGACTCAAGTCAGTCCTCAACCTAAGACTTGAGAGAACAAAACAGCTAAATGAAAACACGGAGGGAGAGGGAGAGGTGCCTTGAACACACGCCGCCGCCGCCGTAGACCACGGTGCTTGAGGACAAGCCCTCAGGCACCTGCAGGAAGGCAGAAATGGATACTCATGCTGAGAAGTGTCTGCAAGGCTCACACAATCCACAGCGGGAGGCACAGGCCTCGGAACTGCAGCTGGTAGCAACAGACTTGCCTCTGGCTTCTCAGATCCCCAGGATTCAAGTGAGGGGTTAAGGACCAAGCGACTCTGTGAGAAAAGCCCCTGGGCCCCGCCCCCCAGCAACTTCATGCCCACTTCCTGCTTAGCAAGGCCACCAGTTCCCAAGGTCCCATCTCGGCCATGGACCAGCTGTATTGTCTCAAGTAACTTGTGCGACCTCTCTGGACCTTGTTTTCCTCTCCGTTGGAGCTACTGTGAATTCCTGTGAGGTTATCGGTAGGGAGGCCGCCACGGTGCAGGTCCCACCGGTAAAAGCCTTCGTTAGCCTGTCCTGTGGCCATTGACCCGTGTCCCTCCACCTCTCCTCTCCAGAAGACTAGGAAATGCTATTCACAGAAGGCAAACAAAGAGACAGACACAGTTAAATTAGTAAATTAAGTCCCTCCCACACGGTCCTAGCAAGACATGCGCGCGTGTGATGCCTGGCTCACCAGGCACGCCTCCAGATATCTTACCCCGCCATCCAGAAGTCTCCGCCACATGATGAGACAGGCGGCATTATGCAGCATCGTCCAACTTCACCCGCTTTACCGATGAGGGCACCACCGGGGCCCAGAGAAAGAAGATGACTTGTACTGCTCCCGAGTGGGAAGAGGCAGATTTAAACCGCCGTCTCTCTACAGCTAGAATTTACCTGTAGATGTATCCAACCTTCCCATCAAACAATAAACACAGAACCAATGCAAAGAAGAAAGCCAAGAGGTCAGAGCCAAGAGCCAAAACCTTACCCTTCCTCCTGCAGTGGTCCTACCTCTCCGAACCAGAGCTACCCCTCTGTTAAAGTCTTTATATAGAGTTCCTGTCCTGCCTTCTCATTGGTTGTAAACCCAACCACATGACCGCCTCCTCACAGCCTGTCTGTATAGGCCTCCAGGTTTTCCATGATTGGTATTAAGATTAAAGGCATGTGTATCCAATAATGGCTGTATCCCTGAACACACAGAGACTTACCCAGCTCTGCCTACTAAGTGCTGGAATTACAAGCGTACGCTACCACTGCCCTGCTTTCCTATGGCTTGCTAATAGCTCTGACCCCCGGGCAACTTTATTTATTAACATACAAATAACATTTTAATACAAATAAAATATCACCATATTTCCCCTTTTCTATTTTAATAAAAAGGAAAAAAAAGAAAAAGCTTATAACTAATATAAGAAAAACTATATACAAAAGGACAATAACTATATACAATATATACAAGTAATAAATACCTAAACAATGTCTAGTCCATTTGTATTTGACAAATTCAGAGAAAATAATTTCATTATCTATCCTATTTTTGTAAGTCCAAAATGTATCCTAATTAATCTTCAACTATAACTAACTAACCTTCAACTATAACTAACTAATCTTCAACTCCCTCAGAGACCCAAGAAGGAAATAATATTAGCTAACAAAAATAAAAACAGGAAGTGCACATAAGCAACCTCCAAAAAATTTGTGAGTTGACAGAAACAGACAGCTGTCTGGACAGTCACCTGAGGTTTCTCCGAAGTGCTGGGGCATCATCTTCAGCCTATAGGCCCAGCATATCCGACAGACTCATTTGTGAAGCAGGATGTACACAAGGTCAACAGTTCAACCTCACATTGAGTGAGAGTAGTCCATGTACCAGAAACACCTGAATTCCACCAGTGTCATGTCATGATTCAGGATTTCAAATTCTGGAAATTGATGATGGTTTTCCAACTCAGCTGTCCATTCTTCCTGGCTGTGTATATATGGCTTCATCTCAGCATCCCATTCTTCTCCATATCCCTCCATCAAATGCCAGTCTACTATTGAGAGGCGTGAGCTTAGTTACTCTTCAAGAATAACTGTTTCAGCTGCTGTTCCATTGCACATCAGAGGCCATCGGCCCACTGCCTGTTCAGCTGCCTTCGAAGAAAAGGGCACTGTACCTTTTTCGAATTGCGAAGGCCACTTCAGGGATGGTGCCATATTGTCCTGGCCTCTGAAGATGCCTTTTGATAAAGCCATAACCACACTTGTTTTGGCAAGAATCAGTAATCCTTTGTTTTATGTCCTGTTTGTCCATTTTGTCCTGTTGATTCGAGGATACTTTGTTGTCCAGTGGCTAACTTTTGCCACAATGAAAGTTAACTCCATATGCAGTTTCTTCAATGCCCATATTTTCTCTGAAGTAGATTGGTACTGCCAGGAGCCGACATGTCTCATAGTCATAACAAAAAAGAAAAATTTTCTAAGTTATTAAAACATTTTAAATGCCATATTCTGTAGATCTCTGAAGGGTTTGAAGATAACCTGTCTATCTAAAATATATCTACTCAATCTTGAAAACATACCTAATATAACTACAAGTTCTATTATAATATCTAACTACTAACTTTCATTTCTTTATATCCTAATAGTTGGTAATAACATTCAAGGATCAGAAAATTGCATTACATTGTTAGATGAACGGTACAATTAGAAAAATATATATAACATTTTCTAACAATATCAATTTCAATATATATAATTTGTATACAATATAAAACAATCCAATCCAATGTAAAGTATTTACATTTTTCTTTTCTTTCTTTCTTTTTTTTTTTAATAAGAACCTTAAATCTAATCTCCTTTGCTTAGCCTTTTTCCTAACCCTTGACAACAACTTGTAACCAACCCCCCTAATCAATGAAAATTATCCCAGACCCAAAACCCATTAAAAGACCAAAAAAACCAACGGCCCCACACCACCTCTTTGGGAATGTGGGCGTCGTATTCTTGAAATTGATTCCTGCTGGGTATGGGCGAAGGTATCTTTATCCTGAAAGAAAAATTTTAGGTTAATTGTCAAATTCTAGGAAAGGAAAATATATCCTTCGTTATCCAGTCTGTGTATAATGCCAAAATTCAGGGTTTATCTCAAATCCTTATTCAAGTAGTCTTTGAGACTGGATCATCTCAGCTAGCTCTTCTCAAAATTGCTCTGAGCACTTTGTAGTTCAAAGCTGATCTGTAGATGATGTTTGTCAGCTTAGTGATGTTATTATTGTCCACGTGGAATTGTTGTTGTTGTGGGGCCCCATCTTCTTCCTGGAGACTTCAGTTGATGTTAGGCCTAACCGTGATTTCCTGCAAAAAACTGATAAGAGACTCGAACACAAAGACTATATATGCGACTTTTTAGAATTAGTTAGTACTCTATATGACCATTTATATCTTAACAAAGTTTAAAATGTATATATCTCTATATATATTGATCTTGTAAATTTTGATATAAAATTCATACTTTAAGAAAAGTTTAAAGAATCAGAATAGAATCAAAGAGTTGAGATTCGTAATAGAATAGTCCCTTAATTAATTTGGCTTTTCTCCTGTCCCATAGCAGAAGATGGCTCTTTTCCTCTGGCATGATACAGGGAGTTTGCATTTTCCTTTTAACAACATGCTTGAGTTTAAAGAAGGAGAGAGCCATTCTCCAACTCCAAAGTCAGCTTTAAATTTTAATTGAACTGGGACTATTAGAAGTTAAATAGTGTTAAATCTTTAAAGAAAAGCAGAAACAAACATTTAGGAAGACATAAAATTTTTTTAGATAACATACCCATACGCCATTTCACTCTGTTTCTTAGGATAGATGATTTGTTCCTTTTCTTCAGTTGTCTCATTTGTCCAGTGTTCTTCAAATTCGTTAACCTTCATTCTCCTAAAAGACAAAAACAAAAACCTTTCCCCAAGGTTTTTTGGGGATGTTCCTTTTTGACAAGTTATCTGATTAAATGAAAAGGCATGTGTTACTGGTGTAAGTTAGTTTAAATTGGATGTTTACGATAGTTGATGAACTATCACCTCCTCTAATTAAGAGGTCTCTCTTGTTCAAATCGAACCTTTATCAATTTTGATGGTACCCACAGCTTATCTTCTCCTGTAGAAATAAAAGCAAAACCTCGTCCCCAATGTAACACATACCCTGGTTTCCATTCTGAGGTCAGCACATCCTTAAAGTATATAGGTTGATTTAATTCTGTAGTTTTTTCTATTATCCAATGTCTCTCTGCAGCTGTTGTTCCTTTCTCATTGGCATTGAGAAAATTCAAAGTTAATAGAGCATTATGTAGTCTATTTCTGGGGGTTTTTGTTAGTCCTTTTTGTTTATTTAGCATATCCTTTAGAGTTCTGTTTGATCTTTCTATAACTGCTTGACCTGTAGGATTATGTGGTATACCTGTAACATGGTTTATATTATAATAAGCAAAAAAACTGTTTCATTTTAACAGAGACATATGATGGAGCATTATCAGTTTTGATTTGTGCAGGTATACCCATAATGGCCATAACTTCTAGCAAATGAGTGATTACAGAATCAGCTTTTTCAGAACTCAAAGCAGTTGCCCATTGAAATCCTGAATAAGTATCGATAGTGTGGTGTACATATTTCAGTTTTCCAAATTCTGCAAAGTGAAACACGTCCATCTGCCAGATTTCATTCCTCTGAGTACCCTTTGGGTTACATCCTGCTGGTAATGGTGTTTGATTGTAGAAGGAACAAGTAGGACATTTCTTTACTATTTCTTTGGCTTGTTGCCAGGTTATGGAAAAATCCTTTTTTAAACCTTTACTATTTACATGATGTTTTTTATGAAATTCTGAGGCCTCCAGCACATTTCCTATCAATAATTTATCAATCTCATCATTGCCTTGTGCTAGAGGGCCTGGCAGACCAGTATGGGATCGGATGTGAGTTATATATAAAGGATGACTCCGTTTTCTGATTGTATCTTGTAATTGAATAAATAATGAAGTTAATTCTGAAGCATCGTGGATAAATTCTGCAGTCTCAATATGTAATACTACTCTTTCAGCATACTGAGAGTCAGTTACTATATTGAGAGGTTCTGAAAAATCCATTAATACCAACAGAATAGCATACAATTCTGATTTTTGAACTGAATTATAAGGACTTTGAACCACTTTACTTAAATTTTCTGATTTGTAACCTGCCTTTCCTTGTTTGTTGGCATCTGTATAAAATGTACGAACTCCAGATATGGGTTTTTTCCTCACAATTTGAGGCAAGATCCAATCAGCTCTCTTTATAAGATCAATTCTATTGCTTTTGGGATATTTGCTGTTAATTTCTCCCAAAAAATTACTACAAGCTTTTTGCCAAGCTTCATTTTCTATCCATAATTTTTCAATGTCCTCCTTAGTTAAAGGTACGACAATTTCTGCTGGGTCTATTCCTGCTAATTGACGGAGTCTCAATTTTCCTTTCCAAATCAAGTCAGAGATTTTTTCCACATAAGTTTTTAATTTTTTATTTGGTTTATTTGGTAAAAATATCCATTCCAATATAATATCTTCCCTTTGCATTAATATTCCTGTTGGGGAATACCTAGAAGGTAAAATAACCAAAATGCAATCCAGCTTTGGATCAATACGATCTACGTGCCCTTCATGTACTTTCTTTTCTACCAAGGCCAATTCTTTCTCAGCTTCAGGTGATAATTCTCTTGGACTATTTAAGTCCTTATCACCTTCTAAGGTTTTAAACAAATTATTCAGTTCATCATTTTTTACCCCAACAATAGTTCTTAGATGAGAAATGTCTCCAAATAATCTTTGAAAGTCATTAAGAGTCTGTAGTCGATCTCTCCTAATTTGCACTTTTTGAGGTCTAATTTTTTGAAGTTCTATTTTATATCCTAAATAATTAATAGAATCTCCTCTTTGTACCTTTTCTAAAGCAATTTGTAATCCCCAGCAAGGCAAAATTTTCTTTACTTTTTCAAACATTCTTTCTAAAGTATCTGCATTTGAATCAGCTAATAAAATGTCATCCATATAATGATAAATTATAGATTTAGGAAATTTTTTACGTACCACTTCTAATGGCTGTTTTACAAAATATTGGCACAAAGTTGGGCTATTCAACATTCCCTGTGGGAGAACCCTCCATTGAAATCTTTTAACCGGTTGAGAATTATTATAAGTAGGCACTGTGAAAGCAAATCTTTCTCTGTCTTTTTCTTGTAAGGGTATTGAAAAGAAACAGTCTTTTAAATCAATAACTATGAGAGGCCAGCCTTTTGGTAACAGAGTAGGTAAAGGAATTCCAGATTGTAAAGAGCCCATTGGCTGAATTACTTTGTTAATTGCTCTAAGGTCTGTTACCATTCTCCATTTACCAGATTTTTTTTTTATAACAAATACAGGAGAATTCCAAGGGCTGGTTGATTCTTCAATATGATGAGCATTTAACTGTTCTTCCACCAGCTCTTGTAAAGCCTGGAGTTTCTCTGTTGTTAAAGGCCATTGCTGAACCCATACAGGCTTGTCTGTTGACCATTTTAAAGGTAGAGCTGTTAATGTTTTTGGAAGATTATCAGTTGTTGTGCCCTGTTCTTGTATGACATGGATGGCTGGTGAGCACTCATTAGAATAATATCTTTTAATATTTCTCTCAGAAACATGTACTAATTTATGATTTGTTTCTGAGATTGGAGGGATATTAATCTGAGTATTCCACTGTTGTAACAAGTCTCGACCCCACAGGTTCATAGCTATGTTAGCCATATATGGTTTTAATTTTCCTTTCTGTCCTTCTGGACCTATACATTCAAGCCATCTTACACTTTGTTTCACTCTAGATAATGTCCCAATTCCTAAGAGTTGAATGTTTACCTCCTGAAGAGGCCAAGTTGGATGCCAAAATTCTGGTGCAATTATGGTAATGTCAGCACCTGTGTCTACCAGACCAGACAACAAAACACCATTTATTTTTATTGTTAGTTTTGGTCTTTGTTCATTAATAGAAGTTTGCCAAAAAATTTTCTTTATGTTTTTTCCTGTATTTCCTATTTTCTCTGTTTCATCATCTCGACTAACATGATTTATTCCAATAGACATTTGGTTATTTAGTTGCTTTGAGTAGGGGTTTCCTCTACAACTGCAGGAAAGGTTTGAACTGGATTTACTGTGGGGGCCTGCCTGAGGCCCCTCTGGGAGTTTCCCGAAGCTCGAGGCAGAGGGTTACCCTGTCTGTCCCTTGTTGATCTACATTCGTTGGTCCAGTGTTTTCCCTTACCACACCTTCTGCATACTCCAGAAGGAAGGGGCATTCTGTTGCCAGTGTTCCTTGAATAAACATTATTTCT